AAAAAAAAAACGATTACTATGCGATTAAAGTTTATGTAAAATTGTGAAATAAATTCTGTTCTTGCTGCTAGTGGGGGGTGGGGCATTGACATAGTTTAGCATAAATAAATAAATTTATAAACTACTTTAATAATTTTTAAACTTCTCTGGCTTACTTGTTACATATTGTAAATTGTATAAACAATAACACTAACATAAACTTTTCACTCTCTATTTTCATGCGCCCCTTCTTCTTCACGTGGACGTAATGCATTGCAGTTGTACTTGCCAACGATGTGGTGCCGAACCCCGAAGACGTGCTTGTCTTCTTCACTCAATCGCTCCGTGGCAGACCTGCCATAATGGCTAATGGCGTGCGTTTCCTCATAATGAGCGAAAATAAGAAAAAGATTTTATGGCGCTGCAGTTCGATGGCCACTAAGAAGATCAAGTGCCCCGCACGCATCACAATGCTAAAAGGTAGTCCGCCAAAATTTATCATCAATAAGGCACAGCACATACATGCCGAACTGAAGCGAAACAAATACGGCTCGAGTAAACAAGCGCAACACCAACATCAGCATCATAGTCAAGATCAGCAAGACGAATTTTATAATGTGAGAACATTGAAACATGACGATGACCACGAAGTGGAAGTGGGAGGAAATGTCAAGATCGAAATTTTAAGCAGGAGACAGGCGCCAACACTACAATAGCAAAATCAGTAGAAAAGCCAACAATAGAGGCATCATCGGCTGTAAAGACAGACAGACAAACATACAAAATATGTATAAAAACATCAATCGATTGAAACTTAGTTCAGTGTACATTGTTTCTGTTTTATTTGATGTTAAGTATTTGTATTGTAGAATATATTTGAAATGCAAATTAAAAAACGCCGCTTTTGTGTGGTTGGAAATTGTAAAGAAAACGGGAAGCGCTTAGTTTCCGTAATGAGTGCCTTTTTGCATGCGCTCATTTTACTTATCAATACTAATCAATACTCTGATTTCTAATTACAGCTGCTCATAACAAGTATGTCGATGCTGGTGGTGATAGTGATAATGATGATGCCCCAGACATTCAGTACAAACCCAGCCAAAAGGGTCGTATACTGTTAGTTCACGAAGGTTTTCATTATGTGCATGAGAAGAGAATACACAACAAGATGTATTGGCGTTGTACACAGTATACTACACGACATAAGTGTTATGGGCGTGTACACACGGTGGAGGGACGTATCAAGCACAAGAATCCTCATAACCATAGCCCAGTCGAATTGATGGAAAAGAAATCAACAAAAACAAGAAACAAGAAATTCTCGTAAAGTGCGAGAATGATTTAGGTTCATAAAAAATTCGCAAGCTACGGAAAAAGTCGGCCATAATTGTAGCAGCAATGTTAACGAAAAAAATTATAGTTTAAAAAACTAAAAACTCGCTTTTATAATTCCCATTCGTGCTGTCATCAGGTATGTAACTTGAGAATGGAAACCGCTGCATCTTTTAGGCGCATCATTATTTTATAGTTACATACATCCCAAGCTAATATAAGCGAGGTAAAAAGGCAAGAAGAGCTGGGACACAAATTTCGTACAAATTTAAAAAACTGAAAATTTCGAGATTTCCTTAGCATTTTTATTTTTTTATTTTTTTTATTTTATATTTTTATGTAAATTTTGAAAAGCCCATTTTTTAGAAAAAAAAAATGTTAGTTGAAGTTGTCAAAATAAAAACAAATAATATCTAGTGGACCCATATACATATCGCAGATTTACTAAAAGATCGTCATAACTCTAAAAAAAAAAAACGAACATACTCGTTATATCACGCTTCATATATGTAGTGTAAAAAGTTCACTGTTAGATATTGTTTAGTTACCCGGGTAAGAAGATAATATGTATTCCGTTCCCACGACAGCCGGGTCTACGTAACCGGAACTACCTAGATTTACATCTGGCCAAGGACTGTCCTTCCAGGGGCTGGATTCTGTAACTGAGAAAATGTAGTGCACACCGAGTGCAATAGTTACAACCAAAAGCTCGCCGAATAAAATTCAGTAAGTTTTTCGAAAGAGAAGTGCACACAATTTTGACCGTTAAAACTCGATTCTCAAACTTGCTGATTCGCAAAATGAGTAAGTGTACACAGTTTTCAGTATACACTTGAAAACTCACAGTTACAGAATCCAGCCCCAGTTGAAAACTATAAACACGCTTCCGGAAAAATGCCACTTAATGAGTTATAACAGCCTTCTGGCAAATAAGCGATATGACCATATTTTAATAAGTGCCTTTTTGCATGCGCTTATTTTACTTATCTTACTAATTAATACTATAATTTCTAATTACAGTTGCTCATAACAAGTCTGTGTCTGTCGATGTTGGTGGCGATAATGATACTGATGATGCCTCAAAGATTCAGTACAAACGCAGCCAAAAAGGTCGTATACTGTTAGTTCACGAAGGTTTTCATTATGTGCATGAGAAGAGAATACGCAACAAGGTGTATTGGCGGTGTACACAGTATACTACGCGACATAAGTGTCATGGGCGCGTACACACGGTGGAGGGACGTATCGAGCACAAGACTCCTCATAACCATAGCCCAGTCGAATTGATGGAAAAGAAATCACGAGTGCGTATATTGAAACAACAAATTCTCTTAAAGTGCGAAAATTAATTATGCGCATAAAAAATTCGCAAGCTACGGAAAAAAATTAGTTACTGTGGTTCAAATTCCCTCGGAAGTGATTTGCAGAACCTGACTGAAAATGTAAATTCAAAACTTTAAAGCCGTTTTTCTCGAGTTTTTTGTTTTTTTGGATTATGACACCATTGAAGTAATTGAGCAATATATATATTTATACTAAAAAATTCGTTTGAAATGAAATTCGGCTACGAAATTGCTGAGTATTTTTTAACATTTTCTCAAATTGAAACAAGATTTCAATTAACCTTATATTAAGTTCAGTGTTTTTTAAGACAATTTTTAATTGATAATCTCTTACGTTGAAAAAATATATATTTTTTTTCGATACATGTTATGGGAAAATCTAAAAGGGACCTACGGTCGAAAAAAAATGATTTTTACGTATTTAGCGATTCTTATAGAAGATGCTATGCTGATCTCAGTGCAACAACTAGCTGCATTAGTCTTTCTACATAATTCACTTCAAAGGTTGATAAAAAAACGTACTAATCAAGTTATCTTTTTAACTTTTAAGCAGTGATGAGCATATAATACATATTGCGAAGGGTGCTGCTGTGCAATCTTGCTTAACAGCATTTGCTTTGATTACCTTTGCCGAACGCAAACGCAATACGAAGTAGCATATAAAGTGTACGTGTGATGGCAGCGAAGTTGGCGGCGAAAGACAACATATTCACGCTTGAACAGGAAAGTCAAAAGTGCCCGACACTGCTCTAAAGGAGTTTTTCTTGAAAACTTATTTCCGAGCCGTATGTCCCCTTTAAGTTTTCCTGTCTGCCACATACCTTCTTTTCAATAGAAATGCTACGTTTGAAGATACATATAAGAATTATTAACAGCATGGTTCAGCTCACGAACTACTTCGTGTTGGATAAAAATACTTTAGCAAACTAGATGTAAACAACTAAATTACCAAGAAATGACAAATTCACTATTTAAGAGTTATTTGGGGCTACCAGGCTCATAAGCACTTTATTTTTTGCATTTGACAAAATACATATATAGTATTCATTACATTTATTTTATGTTATAAAAACAGCATATACACAAAAAATGAAGAATTAAAAAAAAACGCTAAAATGTAAGATGTAACAAAATGTGTAAACAATTTAAAAGCTATAGCTTTTAAAACACTTAAATATACAATTTGTTGTAGACTATTTATATACATAGATCTAACTCGAAATCGTATCATAGTATTAAAGTATGAATAGCGACATAAGTTTATGTACACATATGTGCAAGTGTATGTATTTTGGTTTACAATAACATACATTAATTAAAATCGAAATAACGATAACTTGAGTTTTTATTTAGTTCGAAAATCTTGCCTTAATGTTTGCCAATTATGAATATAATTAATTATTCTTCTACACCCACTAATTGCATCTTACACTTTTTTACAGGCAAAAAGAAACGTGCTGATTTGTATTCACCGATGGCATCATTCGGCAGAACGAAGAAGAAACGCAAGAAGCTAATCATCAACTCATACGAATTTGTGATTGACCGCAAGCTAAAACAGACCACCAATTGGCGTTGTGCTCGCTATAAGAGTGCTAAATGTAAAGCGCGCGCCACTACGCGTCTCGTAAACGGTGTTGAACGATATGTCTTACGTAATGGGGAACATTCACATGATTATATTTGAAACTGATAATTGAATGTTTGATAGATGCAATAGGTGTATCTATTCTAATTGGCGCTTAGGCCTACTTAATGTCATGTTACCATGTATAAGCAGATAATATAACTTTTTTTCTT